TCAACTCTCCTTAGTCCTCGCAACCAGCTTTGAGCTAAGACTTCAAATCTGAGTTCAGAAACCGTATCATACAAGTTTCTTTTATTTCTCGTAATCAATCATAAAATCATACGATTTGAAGTGCCTCTGCGTCAGATTTACGGAGTAGCAAATCCATGTTGTGTTAGTCGTTTATCACATTTGACACTCCTTGCTCATTTGTATATGAAACTTGTAGCTCAATTTTGTTTATATTATGTCACATCCATTCAGAAAGAGTCCCCCCCTATGGATCGAGTTCATTGATTACCAAGACATATAACTTATAACTTTATGTAAATAGAACTCCCTGTAGAGAAATGCTCAGATAAATGATACAATCATGACTATTCCGGCAGAAAATAAATATCAAGAGACTGTAAAAGGAACCTGACCTCCATCTTCTTCACGCCCGGCCCTATTGATCCCTCCAAGAACCTTATAGGCCTCAGAATGCACAGAATCCACTCTCAGCGAGTAAATCTTCACTCCAGCTTCCAAAGTGCAACTAGCCTACAGAACAGCCCAATTCACATTTCTACCCAATTAAAGAGTTAAAATTATAGAAGAAACAAAAATGTTACCTTTTGGAAATTGGTTTCATTATCTTCAGTATCATCTCTAACCCTAACAATCTCACTAAGATGATCAATCAGCCCGAGCTCCCACGTGTTCTTCTGGTTGATTTTCTGCGCATTTTAACAAAACCCTAGTTTCACGACCTAAGAAAACGATGAAAAATGATAAAAATGAGAACTTTAAGAGCACAAACGTTTTCACTGGCGAGCTTGATACAATTCTGAAAGAGATCCATGATCTGATCGCTAGCCAAGAATGGATGATCCTGTTGGCGACTGCGATTTGTGGGAGGCGGAGGAGAGAAGGCGACGGACCTACGGCGAATGGAGGCGGCACGCGCGGCACGTGCTTGGGCGCGCTCGAGGTCATCGTCATTGGATCCTAGAGGGAAAGGGTTAGGGTTGAAAACTGGGGATTGGATACGAGAAGCCATTGGAGATTCTTTTTTTTTACGAGGAGTCCTTCGTCTTCTCGAATTTGGCTTCGACTTCTAGGGTTTCGCTATCTTTTTCTCTTGAGTGTCTGAATTTGGGGTTTTCCCTCCTTTTCTATACTGAATTTGAAATCGGAACTTTGAAGTGGGGTCGCCATTTTGCCAATTGGTGGACCCAGCCCAATGTAACTTTTATATTCGGGCTATTGACTTATATGGGCTATGGCTTACTCGAAATAGGCCCTAAGTTGGCCCTAACAATATTGCCATAAAGCAATCGGGTCAGAAATAGCGTATAATTAGCACGAATTGATTTTAAAAGGTAATATATCTTCACGAGTTGCTTATTGCTTAAGGGGGTGTTTGGTTCAATTTCTAGAAATTATAGGAAATATTTTCCATCTAAAATATGATTTCCTTATATTTCTTAAAAAAATTATAGAAAAAGTTTTGAGAAATCAAAAAGTATCAATTTTCTTGTTTTTTGTACTTTGCTTGTTTGGTTCAAAACAAGAAAATGGCTCATAACTTTATAGAAAATAACAAGATTTCCTTTTCTTTTGTTAAACAAGAAAATGGCTCATAACTTTATAGAAAATAACAAGATTTCCTTTTCTTTTGTTTGGTTACATATGTCAAATTTATAGAAAAGTGTCAACTACCATCTTTATCACTTTAATGGTTATGCACATATACAAAATTTTCACATCTTTAAATCTTATAAAAAACCAACAATAGAGAGCTAAACAAACTCGAATACAAATTGCTAACTTGCCCCGAAGCTTGACAACATGCATGAATTGTTTTATATATTCAAGGGAAATGAACTTTGTTGTTTGACAACATGCATGAATTGTTTTATATATTCAAGGGAAATGAACTTTGTTGTGATTATCTTGAAATTGCATGCATTTGTAAAAAAATATTCAAGGGAAATGAACTTTGTTGTGATTATCTTGAAATTGCATGCATTTGTAAAAAATCAAGGTTCAATCAAATGAGAAACACAAAATAAACTTCCTATTTTCTCACATCCAAAATAAACTCAATGAGCAACCGTCATTACGAGATGTTATCTTACAAACTAGTTCTACAGTAGAAAATAAAAGTATACACACATCCTATTCGAGAAAATAAAGAAGGCTGGGGCGGACGAGGGTTTTTAATGAAATATGGTATGTGTCAGATTTCTGGTGATTTCCTCTCATTTTGGGAGGAAATTATTTTTTGTAAAATTTGGTAGGTTTTGATATTTTATAGAAAATATTTCTGTAAATTTTTTGTTGAACCAAACACAATTTACAGAAATCTCTGAAAAACTTTTAATTACAAAATTACCATTGTCAGATGTTTTGAGAAAAGTTATCTTAAAAAGTGTGCAACCAAACCGCCCCTAAAAGTCTAACTTAGGCCTAGTATCATTTTAAAAGGAGAAAGGAGGAAAAAATAATACGTGCTTACGGTTAAAAAAAATACTAAGATAATGAGAACTACACGAGTCCAGGGTTTTCCTTTTGTTGGTTGAAGTGTTGTATCTTTTTCTTTTTCTTTTTATACGAAAAAGATTCCTGTGAAAATTCTATTAAACTAAGATAAAAATGTAACATATATTCTCCTAGTAAGTATAGTTTTATTCACATAGTCTTCTGATGAGGATTTTTTTTCCCCTAACGTTAAGGAGTTCATTGTGCAGACCTCTGTTTGAGACTTAGATTTAAGTGAAGAACTGAAAAATAACTTGTCTTTGAGAAATTAGTTTATACGGGTTAGATTTGGCTTTGGAGAAAAATCAAAGTTGCGTGGGATTCATGAGGCTTATCCATTGTGGATTCTGCCTTTTTTGAAGAAAACTAAACTAGATTGAGGCTGATTTGTAAAACTCTCATCTTCAGACGTGTGACATCCTTCATCACGTGTCACCGGTGAATTTATCAAGGAAAACACCATAACTAGCTTCATGGATATATAATTCCACATCAGAAGCAAAATGCTTTAAACCCAGAGTCCAAGTTCATCTCCTGCTTTGCTATAACTGATGTTCGATCTATATATTCCCTCACACATCTTACCCCATGACAAATTAAGCTAACGACCCAAATTAATCAAGTGTTAGCTTTTGCAGAGAGAGAAGAATCTTGGTAAGTTGTTTTGAAGGTTCCAGTGAGAGGGTGCTCTTTCTCTTTCTGTGTATGCTATTTACAGAGAGATGATTCACTTTATGATGTGTTAAAATAAGAGAATAGCGATCATTAAGTAGGATATTAATAGAGAATTAATAGGCTTTTAATTAATGAGGTTTAACTGGGGCTGTTAGTGGCTCTTAGTTGGATTTAACCGGAGGCTGATATTTTTGTGGTGGAGACCACTGAGTGAAAAAAACTCTAGTAACTTCAATTTGGAGCCTTTTGATCCACTATAAAAAAAAAGTAATGGAAAATGACTTAAGGACCCAAAATATGGGACCAAGTGAGGGGACAGGTGAGGTGTCCCCTCCCTTGGTCCCATATTTTGGGTGCCCGTAGCAACACTCAAGAGTAATAGAGAAAGAACTAATGCTTTTAGTACTAACGTCCGGTTGATTATTTCCCGAGAGGATCCGAATCCCAATAAACGGAATCATTTCTACGTGAATAGCATATACAGAAAGAAAAAAGAATACTCTCTCACCAAACCTCCAAACTCCAAAGCCACCAGAACTACTCTTCCTCTCTAATGGCACTTGCATGAATCGGGTTATATGAATGAACCTGGACACATGCACACGTATGCAGCTTAGCTACGTGCAACGTGGACACAGCTGGGATCAGTACTCGAGCCAAGATCAAAAAGCACCGAGGATTCCAAAAGGAAGTAGGAACCCCACGCTGTCGGAATGTTCCTCAAAGCAAACAAATCCAAACATTACAGGATAAAAGAAATTAACTTTGGCCCACCACCAATCTCGAATGGCCTAGAAACGAAGTCCTAAATTTGTAAAATTGCACACGAAATTAAACCATATGGTCCATATCCTATCCGATAGATTTCCTACAGCGACGCTCAAAAGGAAATTAAAGAAATGGAATGCAATCAACATCAGCTTACTATTTACGCGAATGATCCTAGCCATGTGTATGTGTTCGTTGTTTACAGTGAACGATGCGAAAACAAAGATGCATGCAAGGCGAGCTTATGCGAAGTTATAGTATTGAATGATAATACTTTCTACATTTTTATGGTTTAAACACAACTATGTGTCACTATTCTTGATACATATGTGTCATGAGTTTTGTGACACGTGCATGTTTCGCCATTCTTAACATATATGTGTTATGAGTTTTGTGACACATTTCCATATGTGTAAAAACACGTTCTTTACACATGCTCTAATCATAATTTTAATATGAACGCTTTATTTGTGCGACAAAAAAATATATCACGTAGAAACAAATAACATATCATAATTTATAACTTTTATTGTAATAATTATCAGTGCTTGTAATCTGGACTTTCAAGCCCTGACTGCGCTCATGAATTGGATAAGCTTAAACAATGTGCATGCAAATACAAAGCTTGTTAAGATTCCCTTACCTCGCAACATCAGCATGCGATTCCTGGGAAAAGTTGTTGTGTGAAAATTCTGGAAAAAGTTGGAAGTGGTAAGATAACATGGATGACAACCATCACCGCCTTTTTTTTATCCATTTCAACTAGATCACAACGACCTACGGCCTTTATGGCTTTTCCAAAGAAAGTTGGCAATAAATTGACTAGAGTGAGATCACAGTAATTATAAAAGAGTAGAAATATTCCACAACTGATTCAAAAAAAAAAATCACTATGACTAGGTAACAGAGAGATCACATTCTCAATCATTTATGATTATTACTGACTGAAAAATACAAAAGAACGTAATTCACAAGATATATATATATATATATAATGTTAATAATCATATTAAGGGTTAATTACGGATAGACCCCCTGAGTGAAACAACAGTAGAAACACGGATAGTAAGTACAAAACAACGACAATACAGGGTCTACCCTTGTATTAAAAATAAATGAAGGTCATTCATTTAGATACTAATATTGGATAACTGTCACTAAGAAAGTGACCTCAACGCACAAAAAAAGAAATCAAATTCATCCACACCACCTGCTTGACTGTTAGATTTCAATATTGGACGGCTCTATATTGAGAAAACGTTAAAATTGCTAGCAAAAAAGTAAGTAAACAAATTTCTAATTACACCAAATGGGACCCATTATCCACTATAAACCTCAAGTGGTCACTAGGATAGTACAATTCTATAGGGGAGCAAACAAAGATCCCAAAAAGCTCTCTCGCAATTTGGCTTGGACCCTACGAAACAAATACAACCTCCAGTCTTGGTTCACTTGGACTCATTACCAAAAAGCAAGAGAATATGCCACCGACCTTATCAATTCAATTTCTCCCAGCCTCTATCAACCCCCTAATTTCCTACGTAATCTCATCTCATTATCCGATTAAACCAAATATCTATCTATATCTCTTTCTCCATCTATAAATACATGCACAACCCCCCTCCCCATTTCACTACTACTGTTCCCAACTTCAACTCTCAAACCTCTCTACATACCTATACTAGCTACAATGCAGGCCATCAAGAAATCTCAGCTTGCCAAGATTTTCTTGCTAGTTTTATTCCTCACTCTTCTCTTCTTAGCTCCTTTCATACCATCTTCTAGGAGGACTTCTTATCTCTACTTCATACTTAACCTCCTCGTAGTTGTTCTTGGCGCCGAGGCTGGTTTCCTCTCTGCAATCTCAAAACCACACGAGGAGAAGAAACCATTAGTTACATCAATGAGCACGGCGTCTCCAGTAACGGAGACTGTAAGTGAGCAGGCAAGCAGGCAACAGGTGATCAAGCCTGTGATCATAGGGAAGCCATTAGTAGTTGAGGAGGAGAAGAAGGTGAACAAGGAGGGTCTGAAGAGGTGCAAGTCGAGGCCAAGCCTGTTTTTTATCGCGAGCTTCGAGCCTGAGCGAGAGGAGGAGAAGGAGGAGGTGGAGATGGAGAAGGAAGAAGAAGTGGTGGTGGTGAGAAACATGGTAGGAGATATTGGAGAGCTTAGTAAGCAGGAGCTTTTTATGAAGGCAGAGATGTTTATCGGAAACTTCTATAAGCAGCTCAAGATGCAGAGGGAGAACTCATGGCAGAAGTTGCAGGGGCTCTACCACAAGGCTTTCTAGTAAATAAAGTATATATTATTAGTTAATATATTAATAGATAAGGGGGGGAATGGATATGAACTAACAATTGATTTTATAATGAGCTCTAAAAAGATACAGTTGTTACGAGACACAAGATGGGGAACTCATTATTGTATCTCTCGATAACTCATTTTGCTAAATTAATTGTTGGTATCTCATATCCCCTAACAATATAAAGTATAGTAATTATACGGGGTTACATAATTAATTAGGTTCGTATATATAAGTTGCATTAGTTTGATGGGGACATTACTGGAGGAGGGAGGAGCCAAGGCTACTTTTCATTTGCATGGTTTCTCTCATTCTTTCCTTCTTTTTCATTCTCATTTATAAAGGGTCTGTAGAGAGGGTGGGTCGGTATGAGCAAGGTGTAGTAATTGTATGGTTCCATTGGTTAATGCATAATTAAAATTTTCATGTAGTTCAGACAAAACTGCAACTTGTTCTGCGTTTGCTTTCAAAGATGGCGTGGGCTTTTATCGAGTGAAGTGATGTTGCTTGTTTTAATTATAGATAGAAAGAAGCCTCTCTCGCTCTGTCCATAACCAAGAAGCTTTTGCACTGTATAGAATGATGATCATAGCCTCCTTTAATTTAGAGCAACTTGGATAAGGACTGCATGTAGCACGCAGCCGATAAACTGCAGTTGAAGAACATCGCAATTATCTGTCTAGCATCGCAACTATATGCATCATGTCTAATTTAGTCCACGATATTTTTTCTGAAACTTTGTAGGAGTAACGCTCAACTCTATGGATATCACTATTGAACTTGAGCTAAAAGAGAGGAAACAATGGATTCTCTTCCTAAATTCGACAGAATATCCATATAGTATAAAAAATATCGACCTGTATGCACGTTAATCAAAGTTCACTTACAACACCAATTACAAAAATGTATAATTACTAATTAATAAGTTAAAGAACAATTATATATTAATTACATCATTTTTATTATATATTTGTTGTAGTAAAAGATCGTATAAATATGTTAACACGTGTAAAATTGAATATTAAACAAAATGGAAACCACAACAGTCATATCTACTCTGTTGATAATGTTTCCGGGATTTTAACCGGTGACCTCCAGATCACAAGGCGGCAACCTTATTGTAGTACCAAAACTCTCTTACATATTGATAATTAAAAGATGCGGGTGCAAAATATAGTCATGCCTTTTTTTTTAAGATAACTCGGCCCGTAATTAAACCCAAGTTTGCAAGTGAACCTAAGATTACGAGAGTTATATTGGAACCTTCCAACCGTCCTTGTCACCCCACGATGGGTTGATTATCCATTTACGCTTCTAACGTAATATTTCAAGTAAACGACATTAACAAATCATACTTTCTTTACTTAATGTCTGACCTTAAAACACTAGAAATTAACGTAGTTTCTAAAGCAAAATATTGTCCCCCTCTCCATATTATGATATGCTTAATTTCAAATTTGTCACCCCTCATATTAATTATTGATAGCAGAAAAGGATTCATTGCCCTCAACAGAACCTTTCTCTACTATGGGGAGCCTCCAAAGCAAGAGCCTTTATTTTGGACCCTAATTTCCTCATTGTTAAAAATTAAAGGGCTACAATCACCAGAGAAAGTATCAAAAGTATCAAATGGTTCAGAGTGCATGACATTAAATATCCACCAAATAGATGTCAACCATTAGATTATTTAATATCAAGAGTCGTACATAGATCCAATGGTTAATATTTATTTCGTACACATTAAAATGATATAGACCGTCTCCAACCACATACTTTCTCACGATCACTGTTGACTTTAGTGCTTTTTTAAAGGGGAATTCTCCTTCGAATAAACTCAAAAAGTAATGTGATATCATAACAGTCAATCTTCCCTTGTTCCTGTTGGGATTCAGACTCATATTCCCATTACAGATTCCAAATGTAAATTTATCGAAGCCAACTAGCTTGCAAATGGATCCATGAACATAAAGGTGTTTATTTTTACGCATAAAGTGGAAAATTCTTATCCACCACGGATTATACTATTCAGGAATCCCAGCTACTAAAAAGCTACTTAGTATTTAGAATATAGTTAAAGTGAATATATTTAATTTAACAGTAATGAGGTCTTTAGCGCAGAACCTTATCAATAACAATAGTTTTAGGAATTCTGTTCCCGTTAGAATGAAGCACAGGCAACCTAAGCCCACATTTTTTTCTTATACAGGAGAAGAATTCCTCATAAGGAAGGAGACGAGGCAACCAAGAACAGCTCCCGCACAAACCTGAGAGACATGTCATATAAATTAAATGCCTCCAGAATCTAAACCATACAGAAATAATAGTGAATTGCTTCTGAGGTAAATACATCTATATGAGGGTGCAATTAAAGTGATTTGAAGAAAGTAAAGAGTTAATCTTTATATATAAGTATTCACTACATACATTTTATGACCATCAATGTTAAATTCCAAATATAAAGTGAACTGCATTTATAACAAAATCTCTCTTCTCTATTTTTGTAGCATTTTAGAAGCCCATGAAGCAAAAGCTTAAAAGAGGAAAATGACTGAAGCCCAAAGAGCAAAGCCCATCAAAAAAATACGCCAATAAAAACAATGGAATGGACTTGGATGCAAAGAGTTGGAATAAAATGGACTTGGATGCAAAAGATTACATTTGCTTTGATTTTGAAGAATAGGCCGGCTGCTACAAAGTTGGATTTCAAATGAAGTGGGCCGGACTTCAAAGATGATTTGTTTTGACAATGAATTGGGCCACCTCTTCATTTTCTATTTTGAAAATCAAATGCAAGATGGGCCGGTTGACTTAGACTTTGGCTTTTAATTTGACTAGTGTGCAGCCCGTGCGCAGCACGGTGTTTTTTTTTTTTTTTGCTACAGTGTTCCCGCCGTTTTTAAACTCTCCCAGATTGAATTTTCTGGGGTGCTACAGCAACTCGCCTGCTACAGTGCCATTCCCGAGCTGCTACAGTAACCGATCTGCTACAGTGGCTTTTAAATTTCTCAGCTGCTACAGTAATACTGCTACAGTAAATCTACTGTACCCCTACCTGGTCCAACTCTAGCCTGGTTAAGAGAGCACCCTTCCCATTTGGGCCTTATTTTTGTTGCCCTTATGTGTCTTACTAGTGCCCTTAAGGTCATTTTACCTAATATACAAAGTATTTGAGTTTTATCCAATATGACATAAGTATTATTGTGACAAAGACTCGTCGCTATACGGAGATTCAATGATGAACTACATGTTGGAAGGAGCTTTTCTATTACTTTAGTGATTAGTTTAGGGGTCATTTTCTGAAATGTATATATACATGCATTTTCCCCTTCCCTGATTTTGTTTGTTCAGTCCTTAAACATTTCATCTAAAATGTATATTTAGAAATATCAATTTTTAACCCTTTAAACGGTGGTCTGGATGCCCTGTCACGTGTTTTGATGCAAATAGCATTGTTTTGGGCTTTCAGGGCAACATGCTTTCGCTCCTGATGACCAAATTGAAACCCCATAATACTATAGTACACGGGAATACTGTAGAATTTTTAAAAACTGTAACAGAGGAGGGAACTGTAGCGATTCAAAAGTTAATGTAGCACTAGTGTGCAGCCCGTGCGCAGCACGGTGTTTTTTTTTTTTTTTGCTACAGTGTTCCCGCCGTTTTTAAACTCTCCCAGATTGAATTTTCTGGGGTGCTACAGCAACTCGCCTGCTACAGTGCCATTCCCGAGCTGCTACAGTAACCGATCTGCTACAGTGTCTTTTACATTTCTCAGCTGCTGCAGTAATACTGCTACAGTAAATCTACTGTAGCATTTACTGTAGCATGAACAGTGGCTCTTTGTTTCTCCCTTTTGTATAAAAGAATAGATTTGTTGAAGTTGGGCTGGACGTGCTTGATGGATTTGATTTTCTTTTGAAAATCAAGTGAAGCTCATTAGGCTGAATTGGACCAACTTTGCTGCAGCTTTGATCTTTTCATTGGACTTGGACCGGACTTAGCTCTTAATCAAATGAAGCTCCATTGCTTTGGTGTGCAGGTAAATGAAATGGACCGGTGCTACATTGAATTGTTGGACTGGACTTGATTTTCAATTATTTGTGAAAATCAATTGGGGCTCCTATATTGGGCTAGAGAAGAACAAAAAGCAAATTCAAAGGATAAGATTGTTGCTTGGGGCTCAAGACAAATCCAATGGCTCATATTCATTGAATATTACTATAAATAGGAGTAGAGAGTGAGGGGTTAAGTGGGTGAAAATTTTTGTAACTCCTTTTGGAGAGGAGGGCTACTCTTAATTGAGAAGGCCTTCCAAAATTGTAACTTTTTGTTGCAATTAATAATAATAATTTTTTCACCACTTTAAATTTTTCTCTTCTTCTCTTTGTTGGATGATGATGATGAAGATGAAGATGGAGAATTATTTGAAGGTTTGCATTTCTTTTCTTTTTCTCTTTTATTGCTTATTAGTGTAGATTTATTTCTATGCTTGTAGTTTAGATTTTATTTTCTTGTTAAATAGCCAAGAGGCTAGAACCCTCTTGCCTTAGATTTATTTTATGCTTATAGAGTAGATTTATTTTCTTGTATTTAATTCTTGTAATTTTATTTTGTAGTTTAGATTTTGTAATTTATTTTATAGTTAGATTTTAATTTCTTATACTATTCACCTTGAGGCTAGAACCCTCTTGGGTTTAGTTTTTCTTTTTGTTTATTTTTATTTTGTTTGATTCGCCTTTAGGCTAGAACCCTCTAGGGAATCACCATTTTCTAAGAAGTAGGTTCAATTTTAGATTACCCATATCTATAATCGAATCCACCATCTTTAATTTCTTGCATTTTCTTTTATTCTAGAATTTTGTTCTTCATTCTTGATTTTTTTATTTGTTTCTTGATTTTATTCATTTTTCCTTCTCACCTTATTGATCATACTCATTCTCTTTTACATCCACTCTCATTTACACTTTGCACCTACTTACACACCACTTTCACTCTTTAAATCTCTTCACAATCACATTCACTTATCACTCCTACTTGTCACGCACACAATATAAGAACCGATTTTATTTTTTCTCCTACAAAACACCTTCATCGTGGGATCGATATCTTAAATACTATAACTTGACACGGTTGTGCACTTGCAACCTTTTTGGTACATGTTTATGCCGCATCAGGGTATGCTTGGTACCTGAGGTGACACAATCCCCTCCACTCATTCAAATGGGGGAACACATTCACATTGGTTGAGGAGTGCATGAGGATATGCAACCATTTGAATGAGTGGAGGGGATTATGCTACCTCACTATCAAGCATAATTTTTTATGCTTGGTACCAAGCATACCCATTTTTCTCATATATATATATATATATATATATATATATATATATATATATATAGACACACACACACACACACACACACACATACACATAAAGAGAAATATGAGTATTTTTGGTAGTAAGGTGACACAATCCCCTCCACTCATTCAAATGGGAGACCAAATGAGAAGTGTATGGGGATATGCAATCATTTGAATGAGTGAAGGGGATTATGTCACATCACTACCAAACATAACTTTTTGTGCTTGGTACCAAGCATACCAATTTTTCTCATATAGATATATATGTATATATATACATATATGTATATATAGGGAAATATGTACCTAATGAGCCACCTTAGGTAGCATCTAAGGATGCACCTTCGAAATTAGATTATACACAATAAATTTACTTGATCCATTTCGTTCATTTTGATCTATATGATTCAGATGCCATATAAATCAAAAATTAGGCATATTGGGTTGTATTTACTAATGCATCAAGTGATAATAAAATTAACGGTTTCATAACAATACAACCAAAGAGACAATGAAAAATATGTGTTAGAAATATTCAAACATCATTATTTTTATTTTATAGATGCTTTAAGACATTTAGATCATGATGAATGGTGCGGATCGTCCATTGATATAGCTCAATCCATAATTTGAGAGGTGAATTCTTAGATTCAACCTAAGGTGACTCCTTAGGTACATATTTCCCATATAGGGAAATATGTACCTAATGAGCCACCTTAGGTAGCATCTAAGGATGCACCTTCGAAATTAGATTATACACAATAAATTTATTTGATCCATTTTGTTTATTTTGATCTATATGATTGGGATGACATATAAACCAAAAATTAAACATATTGAGTTGTATTTACTAATGCATCAAGTGATAATAAAATTAACGGTTTCATAACAATACAACCAAAGAGACAATAAAAAATATGTGTTAGAAATATTCAAACATCATGATTTTTATTTTGTAGATGCTTTAAGACATTTAGATCATGATGAATGGTGCGGATCGTCCATTGATATAGATGTTTTAAGACATTTAGATCATGATGAATGGTGCAGATCGTCCATTGATATAGCTCAATCCATAATTTGAGAGGTGAATTCTTAGATTCAACCTAAGGTGATCACCCCATTGTGACTAACAAGAGGGCTCACATGGCATTGAGCTGACAGCTCATTTTGCAAAATGGGTTGTTAGCTCATATATACTTTTCCTTTGTGTGTGTAGAGAGAGAGAGGGGGGGGATATTAGGTAAGAACTGGCAGCTCATTTTCAAAATGAGTTGTCAGCTCACTGCCATATGAGCCCCATCCCGATGTGACTAGCATGGGGGGCTCACATAGCATTAAGCTGGCAGCCCATTTTGCTCATATATATATATTTTCCATGTATTATATATAGAGGTAAGTTATACAACCACCATCAAGATTGAAAAATAATCAGGAATTACGGCATCATGTACATGATTTGGAAAACCAGTCAAGTTAAAGCAATATGATTCTCTAGGAACAAAGTTTGCTTTATATTTTCTTTAAGCAAACTGTTGGATTGCAACTACAGATGAGTTGCAGGTCAAGATTTTTTTTATTATGTAATAGATATCACTCAAACTGTATGAGTACGATTATTGTCCTAAAATCCACCCTCATTTAGTGCGAATTTCTTTACTGAGGAAAAATGGACATGAGGGGTGCTTTTCGTGATCATAAAAGATCAGTAATAGTGCGCTAGATCCAATCAGCCTAGGCCCATAAATCTTTTTAATTTGAGACTAAACTTCTTATTCTAAGAAGAGTGCTGGGAATCACATAATTCAAGAGTAATTTCCCTACCTAACCAACGTATTTCCCTACCTAACCAACGTAAATATTAAGGATTCTCAAGATGCTCAATTTTACACATTCACTTTAAACGTTTCAAAATTCAAGTTCTGCATAGACTTCTGATATTTTGAACCAATAGAAATCAAGAAGATCTCTTAATTGATAATTCTGGCCCACCATGCTTGTAAGGCCCGATGATCACAACCAAAAAGCCTTCCATCTTTAAGGGCCATATGATGTTTACTGCAAATCACCACTTCCCTCCATGTAAAGACCTATTCCGACGTCATTGTCCTCGTTAAAAAATTCTCATATTACGTCCTTTCCATTGGACGACTTCATGCCAACCATCAATAACTTTTCAATCTACCTTCACGCTGACCATTAGGCTATCTTTTTATTTTTTTAATTTTATTTTATTTTATCTTTTTGTCTCCACACCTATTAATTCTGATAATATGAACCATAGAATTGTCCCACCTTAAAAGAGCATTTACATCTCCTAGGATGGCACTAAAGCGAGCTAAAGATGCATAAGCAATCAAATGTTTTATTTCATAATTCTAGTGGCTAAAAAACATGCAAAAAATCTCGTTTTATCAGGTCTGCACAATAGCATTTCTAAGCAGCTACTAAAAAAGGCATGTGGCTGAAATGAAATAGCTTGAAACAAATATAACAACTAACAAATCAAAACAGAAAGATAGCGCATGTTCTAAAACTCTCAAATCCCAACATTAAAATTCAAAGAACAGTATTCTAACCGCGTACCTGAAGCGGAGTGTGTCCAAGAGAATCACGTAAAGGCTTGACACTAGACAAAGGGTGCTCTCGTGGCAACTCATATACCAGTTGATTTAGCAACTGCAAACAAAGAATATTCCAATAATTTCAAGAACACCAATCAAACTTCAAAAGTATTTATATCAGGATAGTTATCATATAAATATTTGATTCTCCACTTTAGAAATTTTAACATACAAGGTTAACATCAAAAATCATACCAGGGGTACTATTTTAAGGAAGCTAACAGTTAAATTTTGAATTGACATTTTTGGAAATTTTAGCAGTCGAGGTTAAAAGTTTGTCTGTTTTATATTGATTTGAGTTCGAATTTGTAACAAGCTTGAGTAGAAAATCATTTAACAAGCTAATGGAAATTATAGGAATCATGTTATCAATCACCATTTCAAGATATGTGTGCGTAGAAATAATGGTTATGAGGTGGCAACTCATTTTGCTAAATGATCTAACATGTGTGAGTGTGTGCTTGATTCAACACTTCAGAAATATCAGAAGTTAATCATAGTTTTTATATGGGTTTATGTATAAGTTCATTAATATAAATTGAGTTCAAATATATCTCCCTCCCAGAGTACATGTAGGAACTACCATCTCCAGCTGCCTACTGCCAGTGAATAATGTGAACTGCTGGGGGAGGAAACCTATGAGAAATTTCATTTGAAGAAACAAATCTTCCTTGTGCAGTAACAAGTATGCTGACTAAAGTAGGAGGCTCAAACTGCAATAGCCATTACAGAGCTTCTGCACTCTTTTTTTTATCCTTTTTGGGGGTTTTGTGAAGGGGTCAGAATTTACTTATTTGCTGAAAGAACACAAGTATGCACGCTCAAAGATATTTTTCCTCATGCTTGTCAAACACAGATATTTGTCTGGAGAACAATAATTGATGCAACTTTAGCAGACTCTTTACCTCAGCTTGCCTGCCAGCATGCAACCTGATCCCAGATGCATCATACATTACCTGTAGGGCATAAACTGATTATTAAGCTTGACTAATGTTAAGAGAGTGAATGAGAAGCTTCCACTAATACATAAATTCCATGCACCAAAACAAAAGGCAAGTTATTTACATTGAGTATTAGAGCATAAAAGAATAGAGAAAATTTCGACCCATAATTTCCAAAAAATGGAGACGTACCACAATCGTAACATTTGGATACACCAATATGTAGTATTGAGTACTTTTTCCCGCATTCTAAAATTTATGCATTGTCTGAGAACATATTGGAGGAGATCTAACAATGGTAAGTTAGAATTTCATGATGGGGTTTAAACTTTATGTTGATTTATAGATGTTCCACATTCCAAATTATGTATTGTATGTGGATGTATCGGAGGAGATCCAGCACTAGTAAGTAGTAAGTTAGAATCTTATTATGAGGTTCAAAATACACGTGGATTTGTAGATGTACATTGAACTATATTTAAACTTGACTGTTTTTTTTAAAGGATAAGAGTTATAATGATTCACATCAAAGGCTTGAACATTACTTTAAGTATAACAACGATAAACAAAGTCTTTATCCCAAAATTTTACGATGAGCTAAATGAATCATATTCTTCTGTTCAGTTTTGTTGAGGACTATCTACTCCGCTAAGTTAATTATTATCATCCCAATTCTGGGTTTGTCATCTCAATATTGGGTGAGCTACATGAATCATATTCTTCCGTTCAGCTCTGTTGACGATTATCTCCTCCACTAAGTTAATTTTTATCATATCTTTCTTAAGTGCTTTCATAGCCATGTGTTTAGACTTCTTTTATACATTAATAATATAATCTTATCACTTTTCCTAGTTTGTGCAATTTATTGCCTCAGGTGCACATGACCAAATCATCTCAAGCGATTCTCTCTTATTGTTGTTGTGTAGCACATGACTTAAAATAAAATTTATTAGCATTGTAGTTCTCAAAGAAAAATTAACTGTCAAAATGAATTTTCTCTAAACAAATGAATCGCTGAAACATGGGTCTTTCAGATGCATCACATATACATATGTAGTGATTCATGTATCAACTTTGTGCCATACAATACAAGGACTATACGTGTCAGAAATGCATTTGATCTTTCATAAATTGTATCAGATTGTCATCAGCCATGCATCTTACTGACAACTATGTAAATAAGCAACAAGATTGGCGAGGATAATACTACAAGAGGAGTGCACAGACTGATCATATTTTGTGCAGAAATTTACATATGCAGAACAATAAAACATCATAGAAGAACACCTAAAGTTTTTGTGACCATTGCATAAAAGAATAGAGTCTAGAACTTAAATAGTTATTAGATAGAACAAAAAAGGTCTAACAAAAGAAATGCTTACAACAGATGCCAATATCGTAGCAAGAGCAAATAAGGAACCCCCTGTCCCTTCTTGAAGACCAATGGCCACTGCAAGAGCTGCCACAGTTGCTGAATGTGATGAAGGCATTCCACCTGATCCAAGCAACCTACTAGAATCCCATCTCTTTTCCTTAAACCTGCATGTCTTGGACGAACATGTTGAAGGCTTAACGGAAGGAACTGAAAGTTATGAATATCAAATCAGAAACTGGAATATTTTGCATATATAGCCCATTTAATAACTAATTATATCCATACAATCACTTAAACTACAACCATGCTTTCTACCCACAGACACAAGCATTTCACATTTCTTTTCTGCAAATAGCAGGAACAATTATTTAAACTCAATTCAAATCACTACATATGAGATCAAACCACTAGATAAGAGATAAACGACTAAACTACCAAAAACGGTTCACAATTTCAATGGTGATGGTTCAGTGTCTGTTTGAGTGACCATATACACTTCAGGAGAGGAAAAAAAGATTTACAGATTAGCAAGGTTGGAAGATCAATATCAACAGACCGAGATCATCATGCGAAAAGGAATGCGGGGAGCTTCAGAAGTAACAAGTATTCATATCCCGTCTAAAGGATGGACCTGATTAATCTTCATCATCAAGAATACAAGTTTACAACAGTTAACTGCAAACATGCTAAATATGTCCTAAAAGATAGCCTAACAAGTATAAGTTAATGATATATAGGTCAATGCATGAATGCCTTCAAAATGATCGTCATCAACCTTTACCTTGATTTCATTTTCTCCCCCTAATTTCTTTTTTATCTTTGGCCTTTCCTTTTTCTTATCCATGTATCATTCTATTTCAAAAGCATTCACTTAAAGGTTTCTAGGAAGCAAATAGATAAGCATCACAGAGGCTGCAATCTGGGCTTTCCAAGGATCTGACAAATCCATAGGCCAGGACCAACAGATAAGCAGTCCGTATGCATTGCAATAGAAAACATTGAAGTACTTAGGCCTCCTACAACGACGCGTACCAATGAAGCAGGCACTGATTAGAAATAACTTTGGTCTTGTTTCAATATAAGAACTAAAGCAGTAAGAATGAACTTTTAGGAGAAGAATAACAATGGAGTTGATGTCATGTCAAAGGCATGCTAATTCCACCTTTTTGATAGAACGTGCCCAGTTCATCCACAAAAAGTAGGTGAAATTACGAACAAGTTTTTTAGAGAACTTGAATACTAATCTTGGAGATAAAATGGAATATTAGAAGTGTTTTGGAGGAGCAAAGGAATTTAGTCCCTAACTCTTAACTCTTCTATCTGAACAAGCCCCTCAGGTATTGACCTATTTCTTAAACTCTATTCAAGCTCATGTACTTTCTTTTAGTTGTACAACAAAGTATTCATCAGTACAAAAGAAGCGCTGTTAAGATTCAGTACAAGCAGTGGCAGATCCAGAAAATTTCCCTCTTGCGCGCGCGCGTGGGTGGGGGCGCACTTTAGTTGTTGAAAATTTAAACGACTTTTTACTTTCCAATGGGATAATACAAATGCTTACTAATTTATTTAGTGTTTTTAGATAGCATGGGCTTTTGGGAGTAAAAGTAAAATTTTCACGACTTTACATGCAAATGGTACCTGCAACTGCTGTAAAATTTTCACGACTTTACATGCAAATGGTACCTGCAACTGCTTTAGATGCATCAATTAAGTAGTCTATTAGGCCCGGCTCTGAGGGCGTGCGAGCTGATCGACCGCACAGGGCCCCAAAAAATTGGGGGCCCCTAAAAATAAAAGTCTCAGCGCCTCTCGTGACCCTATCCGCTTCACAAACCCCGGTCACTCTTCTCTTTTCTTCTCTCTCTCTGAAATGTGGAAAAAGGCAAGAAGAGAACCGACGAGGAGGCCGCCGGCGGAGTCTTCGACGGCGCTCCGCCGTCGAAGAAGCTTGCGAAGGGTGACTCCGACGAAGATGGAATCGTCGTCCGCGAGGTCAAGCTACACTAACTCCAGTTCGATTAAACCCTAGTTTTCTCTCCTCTTGTGGTTTTTTGTATTTTGAACTTAAAGTTTGGGTTTTCCCCCTCTTTTTCTTGCAGTTGTCGAAGAACCGGAGGGTTTCAGTCCGGAGCTGGCAAGGGAAAATCGTGGTTGATATCAGGGAGTTTTACGTTAAGGATGGAAAGACGCTCCCAGGGGAAAAGGTCCATTTTTTACTCTCTATTTGAGAATTTTCACTGGAAAGTTGCTGTCTTTAGCTCATTTAGGGTTTGGAAAATTCTAGGTCAAATTGAACTTTCTTTCCTTAGCATGAGCATTTTGATCTTTTTGATAGCGGGTGTTAAAGATAAGTTTTCATGGTAGAATTAGTAATTTGTTAACTTTTTGCTATTTTCAAGCCCAACTCAGCCACGACACCGCCCCCGCTCCTCCTCCTCCGCCATCAATCAGATCTTGGTGATTCTTTGCTTTTTCACACTGCAAAGGTCAGTAAAAAATAAATTATGGTGATTATTGTATGTATTTTTTTAGACTGCATATTATGTATTGGAGGGTTTATTTCAGTTTATCAAAATTTTTTTGGTTGTTTTTTGAGATATGTGTATGTAGGTAATTTCATCTGTTGATGAACTGAAGTTTTTTATAGTAATTTCATCTGCATTAACTTTGTTTTCTCCACTTAGGTCAGTTATGGATCATGCTAAGTTAACAATTCTGCACAACTTGTTGCCTTAATCCATGTCCAGTTGGGAAATTCCTAAGTCTACATCTCACCTTCAACTAACATTCTGTTGCTCCTAGCAACTCATGCACTTTTTCTCTCCAGTGTATACATGTAAAAATCAATTTAGCTGGTTGTCTCACATCTTATCCTTAATAAAACTACAATTACCTTCTTATAATTGCACCAATTCTTATCATATTTTTTTTTCACTTTCTGCTGCTTCCATTTTCTGAAAAACTAAACTTAACAGTGTGCTCTCGACGTGGCAATCATATTCAAATTGATTGAAAATTTGTGATAGGCGTAAATGTGCAAAGTTCCAAAACTTTCTTACAATCAGTTCATAGAATCAGGGATAATAAATGTGCAAAGTCAACTATCTTTTGTAAATATTTCTTATTGTGGACTATTTGCTCTATTGGAAAGCTTTATTAAGGTGGGATTATATGCATTTATCTGATCAGTAACATTTTATTCAGGTGACCGAAGAGATGAAGAATGGACAATAGCACTTGAAAGTATGTTAAAGACTATTCAGATGCAAAAAAATCAGATAACATTTTAATGTCTGATCAGTTACATTTTGTTCCCTACCATTTTAGGGATTCAAATTGGAATTTATTGATATTTTATATATAGAGAAGAGCATTGTGTTTACTTTTCGCACAGGGCCCCTAAAATCTCAGAACCGGCCTGTCTATATTGATTCAGTACCCTAATAATAAAAGTCAGGTTTTGACAAAAAGAAGAAAGAGACAACCTTTGTAACAACATTTTCTTCAGATAGCTTAGTTTGTTTACTCACTTAAAACATTTAACAATCACAAACATCCGGTTACATGATACATATTTTCAATCAGACGCACATTCAACTTGCTCATATCCTTCTCTGCTTTGGCTTAATACAGCTCAATACATGATCTCGAGCTACTAAACGGGGTAACCTCCGACACCATACAAGTAATGCCCCGCCCAATTGTGTCTTTACTCAATGCATCATTTTTCGTTTTTCCTTGTCAGTTGAATTCTACTTTTAATCAATAAAGCAACTTGAATTTTGTCCCTTCTAATGGGGAAAAAATTTACAATTTTGCAAGCATAATGTACTATGTAGGTTCCTCTTTCGCAATACACATAGAAGTAACTATCCATCAAAAGTTTATATAAATTCAATTTTTCAAGAACGAGGCAAGGAATATCTTCACGTATAGCCACTTAAACTTCAAAAAATCAAGATTTGAGCATGTAATTAGGGCATAAAGAGATCTGAGATCTAGGGCATGAGAGGACGCACCAAGTGGTGAAGATCTTGAGGAACTGGGCAATAGAGAAAGCCAGCAGCGCCGACACGAAGGGGAGATTCGTCGACAGAGGAAACGGAGAGATCTCCGCCGCGCCGCGCCCCGTGGCACGATGTCGGGATTGATCACGCTCGCCGAGTTAAGACCTCGTCCATCAATCGATCTAATCGACCGATCACAGTAACTACTCTCTCTTTAAAATTCGCGCAAGCGGTGATGGTTAGATTTGTAACCCTTTGTCGGCTCCTAGGGCACTGACTTCGACCAACCTCAATCTGCTCCCTCGCTTATTTATTTCAATTTATTTTTTTAATTAATTTTTTAAGGTTGATGCTCCGAACATTTATTTCTCTTCCGTAGAGACTGTAAGAGGGGAAGGAGTGTGAGCGAGGACGGGGATTGCTCGACGGGTGGGATTCGGGTCGGACTTGTGTGAAAGATCATATTCGGTTAAGTGTATAATCACTTAGATCTGACGGGAAGAAAAAAAAGGTATCTTATGTTAAATTTTGATTTTTGTTTTAGCTCACTTTGATATAGAATTTGACAATTTGTTTAGCGTTCACATAATTCTTATTCGCCTTAAATTGCGTCTCATTCACATGCTTTTTCTTGATATGCCTCGTCTTAATTAACAAGCCTCGGGTGTACTTGATAACCCCTTAAAATTAAGGGAAAAATGTGTCCAGGCCCCAAAAACATAAACTTCATGTGCTGCAGCCCCTTCTAGTTTCCCCCATGTGGTTCAGCCCCTTGAAGTGTGACGTTTTGTGCTGCAACCCCTTTTTAACAATTATTACATGCCAACTAAGCTAAAATCCCCAAAATAACCTTACCCCCTCTCCTCAATTCTTCAAACACAGTTCTCTCTCTCTCTCTCTCTCTCCCCCCTCTCTCTCCCCTCTCTCTCTTTAAAAACAAGGGTTTTATCAAGCTCGTCGCTCTGGCCCTCGCCCTCGTCGCCATCGCCACCTCCGCCCAGGCTCCCAAGCCTCCCCCGAGTTCGTCGCCGCCTCCCCTCCTCTCCTCCGCCCGACCTCGTCGCGGTAGCTCGCCGTCGCTCCCCATCTCGCCCTCGACTACGCCGGAGTTCGTCGCTGTGCCTGCCACTTTTGAACCCATAGTATGGTAGGCCGGAGGAGGATGACCAAGAGAAAAGAGTGCATGATGCTCAAGAAAAGTAAAAATGAAGGGGACAGAATAGAACTAACATTGTGCAGATTAGAACTAACACTGTAGACAGAATAGAACTAACATTGTAGACAGAATAGAACTAACATTGTAGACAGAATAGAACTAACATTGTAGACAGAATAGAACTAACATTGTAGACAGAATAGAACTAACATTGTAGATAGAATAGAACTGTAGACAGAATAGAACTAACATTATAGACAGAATAGAACTAACATTGTAGACAGAATAGAACTGTAGACAGAACAGAACTAACATTATAGACAGAATAGCATATTCTTGTACTTTAACTTGGAACTAGATGCAACTTATGACTCTGTCTAGTTTCTGGTATTGGTTTATGATTCAACAAATGAGCATGCTCATATTCTTTACAGAAATTTACACCCTGTCATTAGATTGAAATAGAGCATTCTGGCTGTTTCGTCATTGGTTGACAATAACAGTATCAGTTTCTTAATGTGTTCCTCTGCCTGTTTAAGCTCTCGAGCTGGACTTCTGGATTACTATAGACATGTAGTTCGTTTGCATACAAGTTTTAGTGGTTTGAAATTGACTATGTGGTTACAGTTTTCTATTTTGGAAATGGGAACGTATCGTAAATCATGCAGCATTTTGCTCCTTGACAACATTTTGGCTGACTACTATTCTCAATTCTGTAAACAGGAACCATGCTTTGAAAATGGGCAAAAGCAGCAGGAAGACTCTACACAATTGTCACGAGTGTGAAGAATCTGCGAGACATGCCGGAATGCCTCAATCTTTACTTCAAATCCCTTCAACCAAGTTCGTGCCGCTTATTGAGTTTGTAATTTCTGGTGTTACCAACCACAATTATTTTTGTCCAGAATTGTCCAAAATACAATCACCCTATAAGAAAGTTGTTGGGTCAATTACAAACTTGGTTGAAGGGATTCGAAGTAAAGATTGAGGCATTCCAGCATGTCTCGCAGATTCTTCACACTCGTGACAATTGTGTAGAGTCTTCCTGCTGCTTTTGCCCATTTTCAAAGCATGGTTCCTGTTTACAGAATTGAGAATAGTAGTCAGCCAAAATGTTGCCAAGGAGCAAAATGCTGCGTGATTTACGATACGTTCCCATTTCCAAAATAGAAAACTGTAACCACGTAGTCAATTTCAAACCACTAAAACTTGTATGCAAACAGACTACATGTCTATAGTAATCCAGAAGTCCAGCTCGAGAGCTTAAACAGGCAGAGGAACACATTAAGAAACTGATACTGCTATTGTCAACCAATGACGAAACATCCAGAATGCTCTATTTCAATCTAATGATAGGGTGTAAATTTCTGTAAAGAATATGAGCATGCTCATTTGTTGAATCATAAACCAATACCAGAAACTAGACAGAGTCATAAGTTGCATCTAGTTCCAAGTTAAAGTACAAGAATATGCTATTCTGTCTATAATGTTAGTTCTGTTCTGTCTACAGTTCTATTCTGTCTACAATGTTAGTTCTCTTCTGTCTACAATGTTAGTTCTATTCTGTCTACAATGTTAGTTCTATTCTGTCTACAATGTTAGTTCTATTCTGTCTACAATGTTAGTTCTATTCTGTCTACAGTGTTAGTTCTAATCTGCACAATGTTAGTTCTATTCTGTCCCCTTCATTTTCACTTTTCTTGGGCATCATGCACTCTTTTCTCTTGGTCATCCTCCTCCGGCCTATCATACTATGGGTTCAAAAGTGGCAGGCACAACGACGAACTCCGGCGTAGTCGAGAGCGAGATAGGGAGCGACGGCGAGCTACCGCGAAGAGGTCGGGTGGAGGAGAGGAGGGGAGACGGCGACGAACTCGGGGGAGGCTTGGGAGCCTGGGCGGAGGTGGCGACGGCGAGGAGGGCGTGGGCCAGAGCGACGAGCTTGATAAAACCCTTGTTTTTAAAGAGAGAGAGAGAGGGGAGAGAGAGGGGAGAGAGAGGGGGAGAGAGAGAGAGAGAGAGAGAGAGAGAGAGAACTGGGTTTGAAGGATTGAGGAGAGGGGGTAAGGTTATTTTGGGGATTTTAGCTTAGTTGGCATGTAATAATTGTTAAAAAGGGGCTGCAGCACAAAACGTCACACTTCAAGGGGCTGAACCACATGGGGGAAACTAGAAGGAGCTGCAGCACATGAAGTTTATGTTTTTGGGGTCTGGACACATTTTTCCCTAAAATTAAACCATAACTAATCCCTGTTCATAGTTTTTATTTTTATTTTTATGTTTTTATTTGGTAAAAAATCAAGGATTTCATTTAGCCTTCTAGACTGGTTCTTTATTGGAAAAACCCTCTCCTGATATAATTATAATATAGTTATACTCTCTTTAAAAGTATGAATTTAGGAAAAACTTTATATTGTCAATATTATCATTGACTCTTTCTGATATCACATTCTAATCCCATCCTAATCAATAATAAATTTATTTTACTATTGTTGAAAATATTTTTGTTTTAAAAAGTAAATATAAAATACATAAAATGGAAATAATATTAATAATATACAAAATGATTTGGAGTGAATCTCAATCGTTAATTCCAACTCTTAAATCCACATAATCCATCACTTTATCTAATTGATTGGAGCTCTAATTATGAACTTTATCAGTTGAATAAACAATAAAGTTAAATTTTGAAAGATTATCTTCATTTAAGTTAAACTTACAACCTCATTCAAGCTATTACGAGTTGATGAAAATTTTGAAGGTTTAAAACTACCATCTTTTTAGTTGAACTTAACTTTATCTATTAACTCACTAATTCTATAAAAATACACCACCGACCCACCCCAAGAAAAAGACAACCACCACAGTTTCAAGCTTGCAATATAAAGTTTCATCCCGTTCGTGTTCGATACATTTGATTTCCTTGCAGCTAATGCGGTGGAGTTCCTCAAGAGGGTACAGAAATTCATGAATAGGAATGTCGCGACAGCAGGGTCAACTGAGTACGTGTTTCGTAGGTTGGGTTTTACAATTCAGAAAGGATTAGCGGCGCAGCTTGTTATCGGCTTGTCATCATCACATGTGTAATATTCAGTTTGTAGATAGATATATAAATTTACTGTTTGCCTTAAAAAAAAGAAAAAAGGAAAAAGGACAAAAAAAAATTGTAGTAACTTTCTTAAAAAATGCAAAAAAAGGAATAAACAAAATAAAAGTGAAAAAAGAAGGTTAGCCCGATCTATTGCATTGGTTCGGCCCAAAACACAAAATCAAATACACGATGGCCAAGCCCTAAAAGAATACAATAATAATTCACGCTGGTCCTGGCACGTCGGGATGAGCCCCCTAAGAATAATTGGGCGAAGCTCCTTGCAGTTGTGGGGGGTCGTGGGGACTCGATCTGTGGTCTCCGCCAGACCCAAAAGTGGGGCGCTGGAGTGCTAACCGGGGTTCCCTCGTTACAAAAAAAAGAATACAATAACTAATGTAAAATAAACTTGAAAATGTAGACAGGTTCAAATTGTTTTGAAAATTGCATAACACCGCAAATTCTTCTGATACTTGTATAATAGTCCATATTTTTCCAAAAAATTGCAGAACGCTACAGTTTTTTTTTGAAAATTACAGAACAGTCCAGTTTTTCTTATAAATTGCAGAAAAGTTTAAATTTTCTAAAATTGGCAGAAAAGTCCAGATTTCCTAAAAAATATAAAACAACCATGATCTTTTGAAATTTACAAAAAGTTCCTCATATTTTCCTGCAAAATTGCAAAACATCTCACAACAAAAAAGGGAAAACAACTCCTAAAAGATGCAAATCTACAGAACAATTCGAAATTTAAATCAAAATGGCCGAAGCGTGCTTAAAATTTGAATCAAATTGACTAAAATAGTCTTAAACTAAAATTAAAAGAAAAAGGATCAAAATATTCTTAAATTAAGTAAGTTTTATGGACCGAAATGTCCTTAAAATAAACTCGTACTGAATCAAAATAAGTAGTGTAAACTCCTTAAGCCATAGAACTAGAAAATGAACATAGATAGTTTCATAAATTTAGTTATGCCGACCCCTAAGTCATTAATCTAGATAAAAATGGATAATTTTTATAAATTACTGAAATTAACAAAAATCAAAATCAAAATAATCTGAATTACTAAATCACTAACAATTCAAGTTAACTGCTAAAATTTCCAACATCCAGATTTAGTCACTAAATTTAGCGAAAAAATCTAATCAATCGCTAAAAGTAACAAAAATACAAATGAACAGCCAAAAAAAATTCAAATCGTAGTATTTTACTCCTACTACCCACACTTTCAACATCCTTTAATGCTAATTATTATATTCTTTTTCACAAAAATTTTGTTTATTACATGGTTTTAAATAACAACCACGCAATTAATATCTAAATTTGACTATTAAGTTTCCTAATGAAATTTCGTAATTAAGTAAACGCACATGATATTTCAGGAGATATTAATTTCATTAACATACAAATTTCATAATTACTATATTGTAAAAAAAATGTACTTATCTCTTCAATTCAATTAAGAATAATATTTAAATATCAAACCCTGTGCATTGCACACGGTAAAAATAGATTTTATTTTATTATATATATAAAACCCAATGACCCCAGTCTTGTGGTCTTGGGTTGAGCACATATCCTAGCTCTGAAAAACTTCCAAGTCTATTGGTTGTCCTGCATCACACTTATGATCCTCTTGCATTTTTTTTCCAGGACATGGTAAGTTTGAGACACTAGGCGCTATTGGGATTTCTTGTATGCTTTTGACTACTGCAGGTGGCATTGCCTGGCATGCTGTAAATGCTCTACAGGTATTTACTTATTTGTGTTTTGCCTATTTCCTTTCTCAAGACGCAGTTATCAAGTTCTCTATTTTATAACCTTTGTTTCTATTTTTTTTAA